TAATAAATGTCTACTGGTATCATTTATTTATCAATTATCTATCTATCTTCTATTTGTCACACAATCTCTGTATCTCTATCTATCTATCTATCTATCTATCTATCTATCTATCTATCTATCTATCTATCTATCTATCTATCTATCTATCTATCTATCTATCTATCTCTATATCACTGTCGGAAATATACAAGATGACATCAGTATGCACACGGCTATAATAATTTTCAAGAGTGTTCAAGCCACAAACACTCTGAGAACACCACCTATATATAAATCGAATACGCCTGCCACCCGCTATGTGACGGTTTCGCTGTCTTGTCCTTGGTCTCATTCAGATTTACATGGTTCTTCCCAGCAGAAGGATTTCAGAACATGTGGCATGGCTTCCAGCACAGTGTGACATTTCTTGACGCAGACACTTTCTATTTAGAGTTCACAAGGCTTCTGATTCATAAAAAAGAATGTGAGTTGATGCCAGGACATTCTGATATGGAGACATGGATTTTGTTAGCTGGAGTACAACTGTTCCCAAATAGATCACAAACGTAAGTGTGGAGGACACATACAAGTTCTTCCTGTAAAGCATCAATATTGGAGACCAAAATCTGCACCACGGCCATACTGAAAGTCATATTAAAGTCAAAAGGTTTTTAATCCTTTTCAGATACTGATAAAATCTCTTACAATGGACGCTGTTCCTTGATTTTTAAACGTTTTAGCTTGCTGCAGAATCAGCTGGTCCTCTGAGCACTGGTCCTGATATCCTGTTGTAGGGCGGCTCCTATAGAGCCACCCTTGTGTGTGCTAGTAAGCTGTGTGTGTCTCCACAAACACAAAGAGACAGCAAGGCAAGACACTCTCCTGCTGCCTGCTCCTACTTCCTTCAAGAAGGTAGATGAATAGCTGCTGGTGATGACTGCTCTGTCTTTTGTGATCCTGTACTGGACAGAGTGCTCAGGGAAGTCTGAGCAACATGGTGGTGTAACTAAAGCCCTTCTGGTACAAGACAAATTGCCTTGTCTTGTGTTGTGGCTGCAATGGAAAAAAAGGCCAGTGCAGTCCTAATGCCCCCAATGCGAATGGGCCCTTAGCAAATCGAATGAACGTTCTAATAATTTTTTAGAACAATACAATATTCTACAGGTGTATGGCCAGCCTCAGAATTGCATAAAGGGGGTTATAATCTCTTTCAGATTTTTACTGCAGTCCAGGAATCCAATTTGCACTTACTTCCTGTTCTCCTTTCAGGTTTTGGTTCTGAGGTTAATTCTGCAACATCAACACAGACAGACATAGCAATGCTTTCCTTTGGTTGAGTAGGGAAAGCCTAGAAGGTAGAAACCCTGTCAGTTTTTTATTTTTGTATTGCAGATTTTTCCTCACTTCCTGTCTGGTGGAAATGTTGTCGGTGGAATAGGAAGTGAAGGTCTATCTCTTTAGTGGAGCCCTGGATAGCACTAAAAACCCAACAGGAGTTTTAATCATTTCACACTCCACCCAAAACTAGTCAAAAAATTTTCTGCTCTACATACACTTTAAGATGAATGTCAGGCAGATATAACAGACATAATTGAATGCAGTTCTGTAATAATTAATACATCAGTAAATGGAATTTTATATGCAGTTAGTATTAATTCCTAAAAAACAAACAAACAAATAAATGAATACTGGACAGCGGGGAAGCAACATTGAAAGTATACAAAATCTGCATAGAGGATGCCTCAAAACTGTATGTGTCTCAAAACATTTATGTCTCATGGACAGCGTATACTGGCAGCGTATATTTGATTGTGGATTTGCTTCTTCTTTCTTTTGGTCGTGGGTTACACACAGCAGAAGAACCCCAGTCTGGTTAATTTCAGTTTGATTTTTTATTATCAGTAGATTTAGGCCCACTGTGACCAGCAGATACAAATTGCCCAGTAGTTTTCTGAGGCTGTCCCTGCCTCCGGACAGTTTCTATTAAACTACGCACATAATACAGCAGTGTAAAACTGACCAGCAGCAGGATAAAATTATGAGCAGCTATGATATGAGCTGAGATCTGGCTGGATTACATACAGTTTGGTTGTACAGTAACAGAAGAAGGCTAAAACTGTCCATACACTGGCTGAATTTCAGCTGAGTCAGCAGACAATTTGGCCATTGTGTGGCCCTATCAGGACCCCTCCCCCCCCCCAGACCTGTGACACTCTCATTGTCACAGGTCGGCTAGAACTATGAGGTGAGTAAAAAGCACTCACCTCATAGTTCTCCTTTAAGCTGCAGCCACTGTTTTGTAATTCCAACAGCCGTACATCCTGCGGGTTGAACTAATGCTGGTCTATTGTAATCTGACAGCAGCGTCTTATTGGCTGCAATCCCTGTTCAGCAGAGAGTTTTCAGTCCATCCCCTTCAACAAAAGTAGATTGACAAATCGCTGTTTGTTGAACAGGGGGAGTCCTGGCGGGGATTCTTCCTTCCACTGTTCTGTATTGCTCTGACTGCAAAGACTTGTCCCTCCTCAGGTATCCTGCCTCAGAGCTTCATGCCAAACTACAAATCAATCAAGAAATGTTTATAAAACAAGGATAGGAAATATTTTTAGATGAAACATGTCAGTCAGATTATACAGAATACAGTAATTGTATGTAATATTTTGAAAAAAAGTCTCATTGTTTGGAATCAGGACATTTCCAGATACAAGTATTCAAACTCTGCAACTGGTTGTGGAAATTAGGGGTAATTGCGCCATACACATAGCACTTTTCAGGCAATTCGAACAAGCTGTTGATTGCCAATATGAAAGTACAAAAGTAAACTACCATTGATGAATTTGATTGAGTGGCAAAATTCAGTAATTTCTATACATGGATATAGATTTATGACATTTAAAGGAGAACTATTGGGAGAGTAAAATGTACTCTTCCCAATACTTAGAGCCAGCGTGTGACTGCAGCTGTCACACGTCGGCTCTATAGATCAAGAGCTGATCACTCAGCTCACGGTCTTCTCCCTGCAGAGAGCAGTGACTGTCAGTCACTGCTCCCTGCAGGGATTCCCCCCCCCCCCTTCCCCCCCTGTTCTCCCAGTGCTCATTGGAGGGACAGAAGGGGGAGGGGGTGGGCACAGCTAGCACTGCCTCTACGGAGGCAGAGCCAGCTGTCAATCAGGCAGTGTGGTGGATACCTACAATATTGTCCGGATCTTATCTGGTTGTAGCGCAGCTCTGCGCTGTCAGCATAAAGTGTGGGCAATTGCCCACTATATGCTGACTTAGGGTCACAGCAGGAAATAGTATATGTCCTCCTGTGACCCAAAAGAGAACTAAGGCCACAAAAAATTAAAATATTATTGCAATTGTAAAGACATTGGTCAAAAGCAGGAACTCCATCAACAGTATGATAGACGTTGATAGATTTTCTTCCATGTTTGAGATTTCTTACTCAGTGGTTGATCATAAATAGTGGATAATTCATTTGATTCAGCAGGGTTATCTTCCTAAAGCTGGCCATGTACTGTTAGAATTTTGTTCGAAATCATAGGTCAGAGCATTCGATCTCGCCTTCACTGAGCCAGCTAATTTTGTTCCAAAGCCATTAAAAATTTCGCCCAGACCGGCTACTAAAATGGAATCCCGCATGTACTAAATGGGTTTCGTTCACACCTAGCACATGCACATTACAATATGTATGAGTATTCTTGAAAATCATTCATGATTAGAATTTCCCTCCTCCTTTCCTTTCCTTTGTGCTTGATTATGTCTAGGGGGACACTATTAAAGCTGCTTTACTTACCTGAGCCACCCTCCCGCCATCTGTGTCCAGGCTGCTAAACCGGTCCCAGCAGTCTCTTCTCCCCTTCACTCTGGTGGTCTAAGGACCGCTGGCATTATTACATCTTATGCAGGTCCATTGACCTGCATTAGGCATTCGGACGCAGAGGGAGCAAACAAGTGAGCATTGACTGCCGCGGTAGTTGGGATCAGCTAAGTAATACCCCAGGAAAAAACAAGCGCCTAACCCTTGCAATGCGGGGGTACCCCCCAATGCAAGGGTCATTTTTTTTCTTTGCCTGGTGACGGGCGTTAAAGGAGAACTATGAGGTGAGTGTTTTACACTCATTCACATAGTTAGAGCCTAAGTGTGACATTGAAACTGTCACACATCGGCTCTATTAATCGGGAAGTGAGCGAACACATACCGTCGCTCGCCAACTTCCCGATCATCTGCCTGCAGTGAGCGGTGACTTACAGTCTTACTTACTTACAGTCACCGCTCCCCGCAGAGATTCCCCCTTCCCCTCTCTTATCCTCCAGCTCTGATTGGGGGAACGGACAGGGAAGGGGGTGGGCACAGTTGGCTCCGCCTCTAAATAGGTAGAGTTCTTTGTCAATCAGCCACCTGGGTGGATCTCAACAGTATTGTTGGGATCCGTCCCGGCTGCGGCACTCTCAGTATATAGCGAGCAGTAGCCTGCTATATACTGAACTTTGGGTCACGGAAGGAGGTTAGTATACGTCCTCCCGTAACCCTAAAGAGAATTATGGGATGGTTACCCCCATAGTTCTCTTTTAAAGAAAACATTTTCATAGTTATCTGCACATCAAGAGGGACAGCAGAGGCGGAAAGAAGAATGTGGTTCCAAATGAGGGACAGTTGGGAGGTATGCAAATCATACCACAGCCTGGATAAATGAAACCTTCACACACATTTAATTGATTGTTGTAGTTTTTTTTATATTTGCATGTAAAATGGAATCTTAATTTAGACTCAACTGCTGTGAAACCTTGTTTCTTCCTTGTTTCCGCTCCTCCTCCCACCATGACTTTTGCAAGAGTCCCAGGCTGCACAGCAACCCCCCACACACTGATCACCCCTTCCACTAACAGGGAGATTCGCTTCTGATCTCCTAAAGATGGCTGCGGCTGTGTCGTCAGAGTGGAAGTGTCACTTCCTCCGGCGCTGGTTGTTATGGTGATAGAACGCTGAGAACTTTGTTCTGGGAGAGTTGGATCAGTATGGATCTGTGCGGGACATCGGGGATCGTCTGCGGGGATGAGGAGGAGGCTGTGGCAGCGTATGTGCGGGAGATCCAGATCAGGTATTCCGATCGTTAGGAGGGCTGATTGATAAACTGCACAACTACATCACTGACCGGCCGACTTTATACAATGCATACACATGACATGAGATCTATCAAAGGCTTTTCAGAAAGAAAAACTATGAACGATGATAGAAAGGTTTTGCATAGAGACAAAGTGCAGGAGATGCTTCACCCTGGATTCCTGCACGGATCTAGAAGAAATACACAAAGCATCCTATGCTCCTCAGTGCCATCTATTTAGTAGTTCTGCATGAATGTCATTCGCCCAGCTATATCCTGAGTGTAAGATTTGAAAATCAGCCCTCAATGATTCAAATAAGGATACATATGCCTTTTGTATTTAGACAATATTTGCTTATCCCGGAGTTCAGCTTTAATTTAAATGTAGCTGGTATAAGTATACCATTGGTGTTCTGCTGTCCTTGCTTTGTCCCATCAACAGGCTGCAGCATGGCAGTGACACCACTTCATTGCTTAACTGTAATAGACATAAAGGTGTCACCCTACTGGCCAATCCTTGTGGTAGAGGTATCTGCATTAGAAGACTGGCCAAGCACAATCACATATCATTTGGCAGTTCACAAAGTTGTATTTTTTAGCATAGTTTTTAGCTATTTGACTGGAGTTCAGCTGACTGTATCTGCTATATAATATAGTAGGTCAAGGTTGGAGTTCAGATGAAGGTATCTGCTATATAATATAGTAGGTCAAAGTTGGAGTTCAGATGAAGGTATCTGCTATATAATATAGTAGGTCAAGGCTGGAGTTCAGATGAAGGTATCTGCTATATAATATAGTAGGTCAAAGTTGGAGTTCAGATGAAGGTATCTGCTATATAATATAGTAGGTCAAAGTTGGAGTTCAGATGAAGGTATCTGCTATATAATATAGCAGGTCAAGGCTGGAGTTCAGATGAAGGTATCCGCTATATAATATAGTAGGTCAGGGCTGGAGTTCAGACGAAGGTGTCTGCGATAAATTGTGTATACAATGAGTGGCCAGATTATTATGACCACCCCATCAGTACTTCATTGGGCCACGAGATGACTCCACGAGATGACTTTGTTGGGCCGCCTCGTGACTCCACGAGATGTTGAAAGGTGATGCGAGGAATCTGACACTGCACTGTTGCCCTTCTGTTGCCCTACTGTTGTCTTGCCACTCTCCGTTCTGCCCTAACATTGACTAGTCGGTGACGGCCACAATTCGCACATTCAGACCCAGATTTTCGGCTGACAGTCCAGTCTTTAAACATTTTAAAAACAGCTGCTCTTGAACATTTAACGGATTGGCTCTGTGCGCCAACAATCATCCCGCGTTCAAAGGCTGTTAAGTCGCGTTGTTTCCCGGTATCTTCAGAAACAAATCACTTCTACTGTTGTGGTAAACAACCTGCTTCCCTATTTATAATGGTCTGGCTCTCTAGCAACTTCAGCGCGAAATTATAGCTAATTATAGCTAAGTTACCTACAAACGTCAGGTGGTCATAATAATCTGGCCACTCAGTGTATATAGTAGGTCATTCATTTGCCCATCTGAATACAATCTGACATCTGGTGATGATACTATTGACATTACTGATATTTGGACATTGAACTGTAACAGTATTTGTTTCTTTGCAGTCACACAATCTCAGCGCAGCTTAGAGTGGGGAACTTTGAATCGGACTGCGCAACACAGACAGACATCACAGAAATCTGGGAATTGAATGAGCTGAGAAATTTGATACAAACGCTGACACAGGTCAGATCTTTCTTTAATTCAAAGTATATCTTTTTATTTTTCATTTTAGATGGAAAAGGAGATGGTAAAAACCTATTTCTTTAAACAGACAATATAGAAGAAAAATATATAACACAAATAAATAAGAAACAACCAAAAACAACATATACATAAAAAAAAAATATGTGCATATGGTGGAAGTAAAAGGGTTAAAGGGGAAGAATGGGACTTAACAAGAGTACTTGACTCCCAGAATGGATCATTTTACAGGTGAAACTAGAATAATTAGAATATCGTGCAAAGTTCATTTATTTCACTAATGCAACTTAAAAAGTGAAACTAATATATGAGATAGACTCATTACATGCAAAGCAAGATAATTCAAGCCGTGATTTGTCATAATTGTGATGAGTATGGCTTACAGCTCATGAAAACCCCAAGAACCCCAAATCCACAACCTCAAAAAAGTAGATTATTACATGCAATCAATAAAACAAGGATTGTACATAGAACAATATCGGACCTCTGAAAAGTACAAGCATGCATATGTACTCAGTACTTGGTTTGGGCCCCTTTTGCAGCACTTACTGCAATTACTTTTGCACGATATTCTAATTATTCGAGTTTCACCTGTATAACACCACCTTCTGTATAAGACAATAAAATATTATAAAATAAAAAATAATAATGGCCTCTGAAGAAACACAGCCCATGTCCTCTTCCATTGGTGGTCAGTGGTGAAGTGTCTCCTTACACTGTATGACAGTTGTAGACAGGAGATGAATCTGCCCTTGCGCACCTCAGGAGGAGCTCTAGGATTCCACAGAACCCTGGATAACAAAGGCTGATCTAAGCATAAAAGTGTTATGAAAATGTATAAAAAAATTGTTTGAGGGTATAAGTGCTTACCCCCTGTTCCCAAAAATGTGAACATGTACAAAAATAAACTTATCTAATGTTGTGTGTTGTACTTTTCAAATTAATTACTACATGATTGGTGATGCACTCTGCTATCTTGTATTACAAGGACACATCCTATGAATATTGCAGCTGATACTAAGGAAATACTAATATGAACGTTGTAGCAAAGTGTCTCTGGTGGATGTCTGTGACCTCATTTAAAGTGGAAGTAAAGTGATTGGAAAGAAGAACAAAAAGCCCCACCACCCCGCCCCACAGCTTTTAGCGATAATGTGCTTGTTTGCACAGCATTATGGCGGTTTTACCTGCCAAAGTGATCCCCTCCAGTGCTGTGCTTCTCACTCGTCAGCACTTGCTTCTTCGTCCCAGTCTTCTCCATGGGGTTTGAGTCTTAGGCTATTTGATTGGCTGGGCCCCGATGGTGCAACTTATGTACATGCACACACAAAATACTTCAGCTCGGCATGCCGAGCCTGTGCAATGAGATGCACATGTGTGGCTCAGTATACAGGAAAAACAAAATTGCTGACAGGCAGAAAAAAAACTTTAATGGCAAAATAGATTTAACCTTAATAGTCTCTTCTGTCATAAAAAAACCTGCCTATCAGTAATTTGTTTTTACTTCACTTTAACACTTTTACTCCTTTTTAACTTCGAATACATATAGACAAACATTTATTATGCACTATATTGCTTTGAGTTCATATCTAGTTTTAGTCTAGTCATGTTTATTTTAAATGTTTTTAAGTCTTTGCTACCTTGGGAGGCATGTACAGAGGATACGGGGGAATCAGCAATACTGAGATGAATTTTAAAGTGAATGTTAAAGTGGCAATAGTTTATCATATACTGTGCTTTAGCAAACAAATGTCATTTAGTTATTATTATTATTATTATACAGGATTTATATAGCGCCAACAGTTTGCGCAGTGCTTTACAATATAAAGAGGACATTACAATCGTAATACAATTCAAGACAAGATGGTAAGGAGGGCCCTGCCCCTGAGGGCTTACAATCTAAAAGGGAGGGGGAAGTGATACATGAGGAGGAAGCTGTGTGGGGATGAATTGTTTGAGAATGTGATGGATGTGTGTGGTTAGTTAGGGGTGGGATAGGCTTCCCTGAAGAGATGAGTCTTAAGATTTGGTTAAGGTTTACACCTACTTTAGGACAATACATGACTCCTGACTTACTGTCTAACTTTGCCTTTCCCCAGTCTCTTGGAACAGTGAAGAAAGAAGTTGTAGTCCAGAAGACTCTTTTGCAAGGAGAATATGAACAGAAGATTCAAGCTCATGCTTTGGAACTTTATAATCGTATGAATGATACCATAAGCGATGTGGAGACCGTTCATAAAAAGGTACCACCAGCCTTTACTCTGCAGCCAACCCAGAGTTCATTCTAAAGCTGGCCATACATCTGTAGATTTTCGATCGGAAATTTTCGTTGCTGCCAAGAACCCTTGTTCGATTCTAGCTCTAATACCCCGCAGTAAACCAACTTCAAAACATATTTCCGTTTGGCGACATTAAACCAAAACCCACTTTTTTTTTTTTTACCAGGGCTGGAGGAGCTGGGTAGGTTTCAAGATTGGACAAAGGCGGGGTTAGGGATTGTGTGTCTGTAGTAGGATTTGGTAGATTTGAGAAGTTGCAAAAGAGCGCCAATCTTCCCACCTTAGAAATCTTTAGGTATCTCCAGATGAGGAGCTTCATTAACACAATGGCTCCAAAAGATAAAGAAGCATGGAAGTTAACTGATTTTGAGAAAAGATGTTTCCAGAACCCAGGGGATAAAGGATCAATTTCCTTTGTTTATGATATAATGATGAAGCGGCATGACACGCCTATGAAGTTGTAGATAGGGAAACCGGGGAGAGAATTAGGGGGCAAGTTGGAAGAAAAGGCGTGGTCCCAGATAAGGAACTCTATAACGCATTGTTCAGTAAATACTTCAGCAATTGAGACGAATTATACATTTTTAACGCAATGGTACAGTATATGGTCCCCCCAGAGAATGGCTAGATTTGGAGGGGTAATTTTCCCCTAACTGCTTTAGATGTTTCCGAATATCGGGAACTTTCTTGCATACAGTATGGGAATGCCCAAAATGAAGGCGGTTTTGGAGAGGGGTATACCATTTAGTTTATACAGTTTTGGGAAACACTGTTGAATCAAAGACCGAAATGATGCCCATGAGCGCAATCTAAATTAATAACATTCATATTCACTGCGGCTAAACAAGTGCTGAGGAAGGCATGGAACAGTGACATTCCAAAGATACAACAACAAGTTAAACCAAAAATCACGTGGTATGAAATAAATGAAAAGTTATGGGCAGTTACCAATGAAAGTTAAACATTTTTAAAAGATATGGAAACCCTGGTTGGAAAATTACATTTCACAGGCAGTTAGATGAGACTATTGATAGAAGGATTAGAATGCTGGTCTTTCCATCTTGGTGTGGGGGGTAGAGAGATTTGAATGTGTTGTATTTGTTTATATTTTTGTCTTTTTTTCCTTTTTGGGGTATTTTGTAGAAAGGGGAATAATGTTTATGCATTGTTTAATGATAAAAGGAACAATGTAAGGTGGTTAATTTGTTTTTTAGTATGTATATATATTTGATTAGGAAAAAAAATAAAAAGAAATTGAAAAAAAAAAGTAAGGTAGGGTTATAATAACCCATGTCAGCTTTTTTGCCATCTGTGTCCCATTAGGGAGTAGATATGTGCGATTCGTTTTGTCCAAATCGAAATTCGGACGAAATTTCGGAGATTCGGATGTATCCGAATTACAGATATAACGAATGCAAACGAATCCAAATTTCCGATTCCACTGTAGTGCCTTAAAGCGGTAGTCTGTATGAAATTTTGTTTGCTGGATGAAATTTAGTTGCAGCAAAGTGACATTTTAGAAGAAAATTTAATTTTTTCCCCCCCTCAAATGCCACTTTGCTGCAGCGAACGAACAAAACGAAATTTTGTACAGATTACCGCTAACGAATTTCATCTGAATTGCGAAACGAATTGAATTTCGGACCCGAATCCCGAAAAACAAAATAACGCAAAATCCGAATCAAAACAAAACTAATTTTTTGCCAGTGCACATGTCTATTAGGGAGATTGATCTTCAATTCTTGTCTGATAACCACATCAGAAAGTAAAAGGAAATCCCACCAAAGAGAAGAAAATCTCTGGTGGTCAGCAGAGTAACCAGAATTAGTGTCCCTATTGGAGGACTTCCCATGTATTCTTGTTCTGATGAAAACCCAAAATTTGGGATTATCTTTAACTTTCAGTGATGATGTTCACAAATAGAGAGGGTGAATCTCCCCAGCAGGGACACAAACAGCAATATAATTCTATCCAAATCCAAAAAATAGAGTTTGGCTTCAGTTGCACTTTAAATAATCCAGATATTTTACAATAAACAATGGAATCACAAGCTGTAATTTTCATACATTATGTCATCTGTTGTATAAGTTACATAGTTACATATAGTATTTGAGGTTGAATAAAGGCACAGGTCCATCAAGTTCAATGTGTGTGTGTGTATATAAGTCCCGGTGTGGTCTTAGTTTTTAAGAGTACCTGTACCCCTGTATGTTACGGTCTCTGAGGATGTTATCTAATTGATTTTATGAATCAATACTCTCTGCAGATACCACTGCTTGTGGCAGAGAGTTCCAAAATGTAACCGCTCTGACTGAGAAGAAGCCTACGCCCTTTGTGGTTAAATCTTTTCTCCACCAATTTTAGGTGGTGGCTTCTAGTCTTTGTTATTGCTATTTGTTATTCTTTAACCTGTGATTTCTGTTTGTCTCCTTTACAGAAATTATTCACCCTCAGAAAAAGTTACCAGCAGCAGCTGACGAACGCTCTCGCTGTAATAAGATCAAGCTATGAGGTGAGCGTATTGTATTCTGTGTAATATAGAACAACCCCAATGTTATTTCATTCTTGTACTGTGAAATAATCATTTGTGTTAGTTATTCCTCGATAACCTGGAAAGTGTATTCCCACTGCATATGCATATGACAATACTCCCATCTTCTGCCAGAAAGATCCAGCATAAAAGATATGCTTTTATGTGTGTACAATGTTTAGAGGAGGATGCACGTAAAATATAAAATTATTCTATTGGCTAGAATGTTCATTTATTGTAGCCACTAAAATAAATAGATAAATATTTGGGATGCACCGATATATCGGCCCCCGAAACATATCGGCCGAAAATGGCACTTTTGGCAAAATGCAGAAAGTTCCATTTTCTGGCCGATACAGCGGCGCATCCATTTTTTCTCTCCTCCCCGCTGGGCGCTGCTCTGTGTCCCAGCGGGGAGGAGAGAACCTTTCACAGGCGGCCGAGCACTGCGGGTGGAGAGCGCTGTGAGCGGCCGGCGTCTCTCCTCCCTCCACCGCTTAGCCTCCTGTCACAGATCAGAGGAGAGCGGTGTGTGGGCGGAGACAGCCAGTGCTGTCATAGGAGGTTGCGCTCTCCTCCCACCCAGCCTCCTGTGACAGCGTGTCAGAGAGGAGAGCGAGAGCAAACACTCAGCGATCAGTGATTGCTGAGTGTTTGTAGATCATTGAGGACATATTATGTTTACTATATCCTCAATTATGAATGGATGGGAAGTGATCTACATCACCTCTACATCACCTCCTGTTCATTCATGATTGTGGTCATAGTAAACATACTCTGTCCTCATGGTATAAATGAACAGGAACACTCAGTGTAGAGGATTCCTGTTCATTTATAACAGGGGCTGCAGAAAAAGAGATTGACGACAGAGTGTCCTCAATCTCTTTTTCTATTTTAAAAGGGAAATATCAGGGGTCTGTTTAGACCCCCAATATTTCCCTGAAGCCCCTAAAAGTAAAGTAAAAAATAAAAATATTTAATAAAAATGAATAAATAAATAAAAATAAAATATAAAAAAATAAAAAGTTTATAAAACATAAATAAAATGTTAAAAGAATTTGAAAAAGTTAGAATAAAAAATATTTTCGGTTTCGGCCTGACATTTTTTTCATTTCGGTTTTGAAATGTTCATTTTGGTGCACCTCTAATAAATATAGTGTATGTTTACGTGTGTAAATTATGCCAGTAAGCTCCTCCTAGAACCCAGGTTTGTGACATTTTATTTTTATGCCCCTGAATGCTGCTCTAAAATGGATATCTAAATGCCGCAATGTGCGTGGACACATTGGCTAACATAGAGGCATAAAAATGTTTTTTTTTTCTGCCCTTGTGCATGAAGCCTAAGCCATGAATAGGATCCAAGGGTCACTGACAATAACACCACAGGGTCAGTTTTATAAAAAAAAGCAGTGTAAAGAAGTACATCTATACCTGAGGTTGGCAAACTTTGGTGCTCTAGCTGCGGTAATACTACATATCCCTCTGCCTCTAGGAAATTATTCCTGTGGCTATGAGAGTCTTGCAATTTCTAATGGAATTTGTAGTTTCACCGCAGCTGGAGGGCTGAAGTTTGGGTACCCCTGATCTATACTAACCTTTTCGCCGGTCTGTGTCTTGAAACTTTACAGATTCACTGCTGCCCAGGTGCTACAGATATTCACACTCTGCTAGGTATGTGAATACATCTCCCCCTGTCACATGCTCTATTTGCTCTTGCTGGCTTACAAGTCGCACGTTTATTAACCTTACACACAATAATGAGTTCTAGGAACAACAACTGCTAATTGACGCCAGCAAATCCCATTCATGCCCACCAGTGTGACTATTTCACCTGTGCAAGTGAGGACATTAGGCTCAATTCCCAAACCTTTAACACCAGGCTAAGGCACTAAGCTGACTATCATGTTCAATTTTCTTTGGACTCAACTGTCACTTTATTTTAAATATAAGGATACCTATCCTGGTGTGTTAGCTTTGTGAATTGAGTCTGCTGTGAAAATCACTATTGGCCTAGGCTTAGTCCCACCCCATCTCCCCAGGTTCTCATGCTTGTGTTTCAAACCTGCAAGTATTTGGTTGCAGAAGAGCATAAACTTGGTATTCATAGGTATATTATTTACAACACATGTTTCTCAACAGAATCATTATAATGGGATCTCAGGAACACAGAAAAGCCACGAAATGCATGAAGCTGATTCTGCAAAAATCCAAACATTGCGAAGAAAGCTTGATGAAAAAGATCTACTTATTCAGTCACTGGAAGCACAGATATTACAGATGGAGGAGATGGAACAGCCTAAACAGGTATGTGTGTGTGTATATGTGTATAATACAGAATGACCAGCGTTCTATCTTTAACTCACTCGCAACGGCCAAAAAGGGGGCGGGGAAAAATTGCGGCTGACATGAGGAGGAGCCAGGAAAGGAAAATAACGGAAAGGTAAGTATACAATTTTCCGTATTCCTGGCTCCCTCCTCATGTCAGCCTACGATGGGATTTAAAAGCAATGACTAGGGAGGGAACAACCCCCAAAAACAATCAAAAACCAGAAAACTGCAAAAATATACATTTTAATGAGAAAGAGCAGCTGTCAGAACTGCTACTCCCATGGAGACTTCGGCCCCAAATCTAACATCCAGCTTATAATGCAGCATAAACGTGTTTGGCGTCTTCCAGCTTGCCGCCCTGCAGATGGTATCCACCGACACCTACGCATAGGTTGCCCAGGAAGCCGCCATCGCCCTCGTGGAATGAGCCTTTAAGTCCTGGGGAGGGGAAAGACCCGCAACCCTATAAGCCAACAAAATGGTCCTCACTATCCATGATGAAAGGATTCTTGGCCCGAAAAACAAACAAATTCTTCTCCTTCCGAAAAGATGCAGTCCTCTGCAAGTACGCAGCAATATTCTCCACCAGGTCTAACTTCTTCCACTGCACCTCATCCACCTCTGAACTTGCTGATGCGGGAAACGAGAAGAGCTCGATTTCCCATGGAAACTTGATGACACCTTTGGAAGGAAGGAAGGAACTGGCCTTAGTAGGATACTGTTAGGAAGCTGAACACAGAACGGCTCCTCCATAGACAGGGCGTGCAACTCCGAGACTCTGCGAGCTGAGGCAATAGCCAACAGGAAAGTCATCCTCAGGGTAAGATGCCACAGATAACAAGATTGTATAGGATCAAATGGATCCTGCATGAGGGACTTTAATACTAGCGGGAGATCCCATTTGGGAAAGAATGCCTTCCGAGGCAGCCGAATCTTCCCTACTGCCTTCAGAAACTGCACCACCAATGGATTAGCCGACCACTTCCGTCCTGTCAAGGCCGTGAGCGCCGAAACGTGTACCTTCAGTGTGTTGAAGCTTAACCCCGCATCCAAGCCCTTCTGCTGAAACTCCAAGAGTCTGCACACCGGAGGGTCAGAAGGTTCGAAATCAGTTTGGTTTGCCATCTCGATAAATCTGGACCATATTCGGGAATATGTCGCATTAGTCGACCCCTTGCTGGCCCTCAAGAGGGTTTGGATCACTGATTCTGTGATCTGCAAGCCCTCTAACCGATTCCTTTCAGCCTCCAAGCCATAAGGTGTAAGCTGGCCAGGTTCGCGTGACGGAATCCCCCTTGTTCCAGAAGATCCGAGGTCAAGGGGAGAGGGAGTGGATCGACTACCCTCATCTGCCACAACAAAGGGAACCAAGGACGTCTTGGCCTAAATGGAAGGATCGCAATTGCGTCTACCTGCTTCCTCTAAATCTTGAGAAGCACCCTTAGGATCATGCAAAATGGTGGAAACACGTATACTAAGCGGAAGTTCCACCTTTGAGCTAGCGCATCCTGCACTAGTGCCCTGCGGTCGTATAGGCGAGAGAAGAATCTCGGAAGCCTGTGGTTCTCCGCCGTAGCCATCAGATCGACGTTCGGTTGGCCCCAGAGACTGAAAATTGGAGTCCGAACAGAATGGCTCAGGGCCCATTCGTTGTGGTCCAGCAGCCTCCGACACAGTGTGTCCGCTTTGATATTTTCGGATCCTGGAAGGTAACAAGCCGTCAGATCCTGGAGGTTGTCCTCCGTCCACCGAAAGATCTTGGACGAAATCTTCAGCAGTTGCCAACTTCTGGTACCCCCTTGCCTGGAAACATAGGCCACGGCAGTCTTGTTGTCCGACATCACCTTGACAGGCCGCTGTCGAAGGATAGGGGGGAATGCCATCAGGGCCTCCAGAATTGCCGCCAATTCCAGAAGATTGGAACTCGTCAGAATCTGCCCCGTCCATGAAGCTTGCACCGTGTGCTGCCCGCACACCGCTCCCCAGCCTTTGCAGCTGGCATCGGTAGTGACAATTAGCCAGTCCACCTCCCCCAGAGGCTTGCCTGGCGAAAGGTTGGACGCATCCGTCCACCAAGCCAGAGATAGGCGAACCACTGTAGGAAGATGAATCTGCTGTGTAAGGGACAAGTGATTCCACTGATCCAAAAAATTTGCCTGGAATCGTCTTTTGTGCCATCTTGCCAAGGCACCACTGGTACTGTTGACTCCAGGAGGCCTAGAAAACTCATAGCCTGCCTCGCCGATAGCTTCGGAGTTCGTCTGAGTGCCCGGGCCTGCTCTTGGACTCGTAAAACCTTCCTCAAGGGAAGAAAAACTCTTGCCACCGAAGTATCAAACCGAATTCCCATGTATTCAAGATTTTGGGACGGAACCAAAGAACTTTTCTGTGCGTTTATCAGCTATCCAAACCTCGCCAGGGAGTGGAGCACCTGATCTCAATGTCTGCCAGCTTGACTGGCAGAGGAGGCGAAAAGCAGCAAGTCGTCCAGGTAATGATAGATCTGTATGCCAGATACCCGCAGAAGGGCTATGTGGACCGACAGAACTTTGGAAAAAGTCCTTGGGGCCGTGGACAGGCAAAGGGTAGACATCGAAATTGGAAGTGTCTGGTGCCCACCACAAAACGTAGGAAATGCTGGTGCCCCGGAAAGATAGGAATATGTAGGTAGGCTTCGGCCAGGTCTATGGAGATCATCCAGTGACCAGCTTTGACCAAAGCCAGAATGGTACCCAGAGACTCCGTCCTGAACGGCAACTGCTTGATGAATGTGTTCAAGAACTTCAGGTCCAAGAATGATCGGAACTTTCCCGACGCCTTCTTCACCAAGAACAAGGGGGCGTATACCCCAATGCCTCTTTCTGCTACCGGAACCGGAATTATGGCTCGAGAGTGCAGTAATTCGATGCTGTAATCCCGCAAGCAATTCCATTTCTCTGGACCATGACGGACAAGGGAGGTATTTTTGCAAATTCGATCTGGTAACCCCTCTGGATGATATCCAGGATCCATCTGTCGGTAATGTTGTCCGCCCATACCTCCCCGAAGAGAGAGAGCCTTGCTCCCACCGGAACTGAATGGGCGGGCAAGCTTTCAGAAGGTCTTCTCGCCCTGCTTGGCTCCAGCTGGGCCCTTTCCTATTGAAGACTTGGAGAAGGAATTCTGACCAGACCTCCAGGAGGGACGAAAAAACTCCTTCCCCGGGCTATAGGACCGTGCCTCCTTAAACTTGTCTCGTGAAAACCTCCCAGAACCAAATGACTGGCGCTGTTTCCGTCTATCCTGGGGCAGCAATCCCGACTTGTCGCCTGATACCCGTTTTGATTGCCTCCTCCAGGGTTTTGCCGAAGAGAAGCTTCCCGGAAAACGGAATTAAGCAAAGACTTTGTTTTGACGCTGCATCCGCGGTCCATTGTCTGAGCCACAGGGCCCTCCTTGCTGTTACTGAATGTAACATGGCTCTGGCCTCCAGCTTGATCTGGTCCACCGCTGCTTCTGCCACGAAGTCTGCCGCCAATCTCAGATTCCCGAACAAAGGAGATAATTCGGGAATATCCTCATCCGGATTGCACCGTACCTTCAAACGCGACACCCAAGACTGGACAGCGCGAGAAACCGAAGTCAGGGAGACTGCTGCTTTACAAGCTGCACCTGAGACCTGAAATAGCCTCTTTAAGTCTGACTCCAATCTTCGATCTATGGGGTCCCAAAAGGAGACCGAATCGTATATGGGGAAAACTATTTGTCTGGCCAATCGTTGCAAAGCTGCGTCCAGCTTGGCAACTGAGTCCAGGAACTCCACCTCACTCGTCTTAAAGGGATAAAGCTTTGCTACACTATTAGAGAAGGTTTGTCTCCTGTCAGCTCTTGCCCACTCCTCCTCGATCAGCTCCTTTATCTCGATTATAAAGTGAAAAGTTGGTAAATCTCTCTTCAGTTTGCGGAAAGTACTTCCTAAGTTTCTTAGGAGGAGACGAGGATTGTTCCCATCCAATCAATTCTTTCACCGCTTGAACCAGGACTGGCACCTTAGCAAAATCAAAAGTATACGCCGGTTCCTCCAGACCGCTGACCGTATCTTCTGCTGAAGAAGGATAAGCCGCCTGGCTCGATGGGATCTCCCCCTCCTCTGAAGCACTGGACAACCTTCTCCTCGAGGTAGAAGGCCTGGAGTGGCCGAACTCTCTCATACTCTGGGAAACGGCTTTTTGAATGTAGGAACGCACCTCTTTTGCCTCATGGTGTTTATCCTGCGCCACCTCTTTAAGGCAGTCTCTGCAGAGTCGCTTATTGGGCAGTGCTTTTACGCTACAAGACCAACAAGTCTGAATGGCAGATAGCCCCTTAGCCGGGTCTTTGGAAGAAGACCCACGACCCCTGGAATGACTCTCCCTCCTGGGCAAATGAGAGCGGTAATGCTTTTTAAACTTATGCTTTCTCGCCTTATGTCTGCTAGGGCGGGAAAATTCATCCTGGCTATGTGCCTCCTCCGAGGGTACCGCCGGGTCTCTTAGCGGGCTCCTTCCCCTGCAAGACCAAAAAGCCCATTTAGCACAATGCTCTCTTTGATTTTTTTTTTTTTCAACAGAACTTTAAAAAATCCTACCTTTCCATATTATAGGTGCTCCCCCTGGTGGGTCAAAAAAAATTACGATCTAAGCTGAGATCTACTTGCAATCTAACAGAACAGAGAGGAGAGAGAGAGACATATATAAGGAATCTTCCCCATCAAAGAGGGACGCCACTTGACGCTTCCTACTGCCCAGGAGAAGACCCCCCCCTTCCCGGCCGCCAATCGCAGAGCAGCCGGGAATTACGTCAGATGCTGAGGGGGAGGAGCCAACCCTCGTGTGAGGGTGGTCCTGTGGGGGGTCAAAAGGGCAGAGCTGACCTATTATAGGCTGACATGAGGAGGGAGACAGGAAATATATATATATTTATATATAACATATAGGGGCCTTTTTCTTGTGAATATT